CTTTGTGGTTATCTTTAAAAAAAAAAAAAAAAAAAAAAAAAGACAATAACTAGTGTTGACAAGGATGTGGAGAAATTGGAACCCCCATACACTGCCAGTAAAAATGTAAAATGGTGCAGCTGCTTTGGAGAACAGTCTGGCAGTTTCTCATATGGTTAAACACAGAGCTACCACCAACCGCTCCTTTTTTTTTTTTTTTTTTCTTCCTTTTTGTCTTTTTTTACTGACCGGTAACGGGATCGCAACCCTCGGTGCTGCACCCGCACTGCGCTCAGCCAGTGAGCGGGAACTGGTCTCCATATGGGATCCGAACCCTCGGCGGGAGCGCCACAGCGCTCCCACGCGGCGCACTCTCCAGTGCACCACCGGGCCGGCCCACAACCGCTCCTTTGATCCCCTTGGTGTGGCTTCACACATACCTGGTTCCTAAAATGACCAACAAATATCAAGCTAGGTCTGCCTCCCCTTGTCTTCATGCTCCTCCCAGAGCCATCTCTTCTCTAACTACAGACCCTCTGAACTGTATTTCATCCACTAAAATACTGGTTTTGTCTCTTCACTAGTTCTCCCCTAACAGGTCCAAATCTTCTGATTTTTTGTCCTTGTATCTTATACACTCTTGCTCCACAAAGTCCATCAGGTGCATCTCTTGTCTGTGAGATGAACTCCTGTGACAACACTGAGTTCAAAGGCCTCTCTTTTTCCACCCAGAAGTAAATCAACCGCCTCATGAGAGGGTAACTGGCTTTTGCTGTAAAGACATATCCTACATATCTGATACACCACTAGCCATAGACTAGCATGCCTAACTGCCTAAACAGGTGAGAAACTAAAGAATCAAAGATACATCTAAAACCTTAGATGGCAAAATGTTGCAAAAGCAGGCTTCTGAAGGAAGGGAACCTCCAAGAAAGGCTAGTAATCCACTAAGAATGATGTGGTTCTGATCCCCTAGAGAACTGCAAGATTCTACACTCTTCTGGGCAGATGTCTCCTTTTCCCAGATGGGGACACTGAAGCACTAAACCTTATTGCAGGCCAGGATGAAGCACTAAAAGATGGCACTAACTGACTTGTGAAGCTCAGCCTGTCCAGAGCAGTGGCACTTAATTCTTTTCCCCCAAGGTGCTCGCTCATTATGCTCAGAGGCAGGGATCTTGCTTAAAGTCAATGGCTTTCCAAGCTAGGCCCTCAGACAAACTTTTTTAAAGTTAGCAAAGAAAGGTGACCACCTTGTCCAAGAGAGTAGGAATCACAGATACCTTTTTATCTGCCATTCAGAGGCTTCCATCTGATGCCCACATCTGGACAGACTCAGTGCTTGCCCATCAGAAAACCAAGTACCACATACACTCCCAGGTCCTGGCATGACAGGGACACACCCCCGAGCATACTTTCAGGTTCTCTAACAAGACCATAATTCCCATTTCTCCTGGGACTCGGCTGAGAGAGAGGAAAAAGAACAGGAAGCAAAGAAAACAAGACCTGCCATCTAAGCACCACCCCTGGCCAACACAGCCCCACAGTGCTGGACAATGAGCTGCATCTTTTGCTGTGAACACAGGCAAGCTAATCCTCCAATGGGGGCCTCCATTTCTTCACATGTAAAATAAGGGACCCAAGCTTCCTTCTGGCTAGCCATAAAACTCCTGACTCTCAGGTCTATCAGTTCTCTACACAGACAGGATGCTTCCTAGTGAGTAGCAGGATACAGAACAAAATCAAGGATTGACTTCCAGAAAGGGACACAAGGTTCACATTTTGATGACCCAGTTTCCCTCGAAATGTTGTCAGATGACCCCAGAGGCAACAGGACACAGAAGAAACAAACTGCTGGTCTATTGGCCAGAAGCAGCTCCAAGAGGTCTGAACATTACACCAACGGTACTCCCTACCCTTCCAGGACACCAAGTAACTCCAGTGATGACAATGAAGAGTAACCTACCCAAGACCAAGAAACCAACAAAGACCTCACCATACACACATGGTTTTCTATATTAGATGTAAAGATCTAACCCCCTGGCTCAGACTCTGGTTTCATCAATCTCCAGCCAAAGGAACCCCTAGCTCCTCTACCAAAGCAAAGCAAATTCTTGCTGGCCCCGGGCCCCTTTATCATCACTTGGTCTTGTGGGCAATTTCAAGTGCTCAGAAAAGTCAGGGAGCCTAAAAGATTACAGGAATCCCAAACTTCACCTTCCTTATTCCAAACTTCTAGTTGATGAAGTTGATGTTTCAGGTCTCCTTTTACTTCCTCTGCTCATTCCTAGTGTAGGGACTCACAAAGAAATGGTCAGAAGACAGGCCGGCCCGGTGGCGCACTGGATAGTGTGCCGCTTGGGAAGCGCTGCGGCGCTCCCGCCCGAGGGTTCGGATCCCACATACAGACCGGTTCCAGCTCACTGGCTGAGCGAGGCGCGGGAGCAACGCCGAGGGCTGCAATCCCGTTGCCGGACACGGAAAAAGACAAAAAGACAAAAAAAAAAAAAAGAAATGGTCAGAAGGCAAGGAGCAATAGGTTAGAAGAGGAAGAAGAAAGATCCTAACCAGTACATAAACAAAGTCATCCAGCTCAAACAGTTTCATCCAACTTCCTGGCAGGGGCTGTTGGATAAAGCACCCCAAGGGTCCAGGGGACCACTCTCTCATCGAGGAATATAATCATCATGCATTATCATACCCTTGAGGACCATACAATAAATGAGAAGTCAATGTCATTTGAAATGAACACCATAGGAGAATAGGGGAAGACACACTATGTCTACTATAAATAGTTCTCCTTATAATCAGGCCTCTACGTCTCTTAAATGGTTACATTCTCTCTTCTCCCTAACTCAGGGAGACCCTAGTAAAGTGTCTGTGGTTCTAGGAAGCCTGTGTTTCTCCAGTTGATACATCTTATTCAAGAAGAAAAAAGGAAACCCAAAGAGGATTTCCATAGTTGGGGTAAGGAGGACTGGAGCACAGGAAACTTTGAGCAGCCACATCAACTAAACGACCAGAAACAGGAATATTCAGGCAAGCCAATGCCACTTGCCCTGTCAACTGGATAGTGAGCTGGCAACCATCTGTAAGGAGCAAGGGGGGATACAAATGCAACAAACAGGGTGAGGTGACAAGAGAGGGAGGGGGGTGGAAGCGATACCACTGCACCCAGGCCTTCCCTCTGCGCTCCAGGGGCTACCCAAAGCTAGCACACCAGACACACCAGACGCAGGGAGCCAGAGGGGCTGGAGGGAAGGGGAGGAGGCGACGAAATGCCATGCAGACACCAGGCCTCGCGTGGCGTGAGGGGAGTGCACACCCGGCCGGACGGCGGGCAAGGGTGGGGTGGGCGTGCAAGTGGCTTGGCGCGGGGTGGCGGGTGGCAGGCGGCAGGCGTCACCGGCAGGGCCTGCAGCTACGGGGGGCGTGGGAGCGCGCGGGGCTGCGCTCGGAGGGGCGCGCGCGGGGGAGCTGGTTACCGTGTGGTTCACCCCCCACATCAGGACGCTGAGGATCGGTTCGCTGGCCCGGAATAGCTTCACTTTCTGGCACACGAAATGCTTCTTCTTGGTCTTGGTCTTGCTGGCGCTGAGCGGCGCCACCGCCACCGCCGTGGTGCTGGTGCAGTTGGACGACATGCCCGGGGCGGCGGCGGAGACAGCACACAAGCCAGCGGCCCCAGGCCTCCCCCGGACCGATCCCCACCCCCACTCCCTCACCGCGCCATGGTCGCGCCCGTCCCGTTACCTCCCCACCCCGCCCGGGTGGTTCCGTCCGGCCCACGCCCCGCCCTTCTCGCCCGCCCCGCCC